AAGAGAGGTGGGTTTTGCCAGTAAGAGAGAATGAGATCATTTATGTAATGTGTCTTTCACCCCTTCCTTCATGGCAACAAAATGAGGCAAACAATACCAAACTAGACAGGAAGTATAAGTGTTATAAAAAAGTCAGAAAGTGAAGGATAAGAGTGATGGATGGTCAGAGAAGGCTTTTCTGAGGCTATAAATGAAGCAGAGATCTAAAAGCAAACTATGCAAAAGTTCAAGGCAGAGCTTTCCAGGCAAAAGGGGAATCATAAGCGACAAGGGATCCAGGTTGAAGGTCTGACAGGTTTAGAATGGCCAGAGGAAAAGAAAAGAGTGGTATAACTTAAGATTGGAGTGAGAGGCAAGGTTGAGATGATGAACCTCTTAGACCTTGGCAAGTAGTTCAATTTTTTAACAGGAATTTCCAGCAGTTATACAGATAGATGGCTTGAAACAACTTTTTTGAAAAAGTTATTTAAATGTGCCCCAATTAAAAAAAAAAAAATATATATATATATATGCCCCCAGTAATAGCTCTGCTATCATATTAGTCCTGATTTGATGTCCTCTTTTCAGACATGACAGAGAGAGATGATGCCCTACTGAGAGGGCTATGTAGTGACAGTCAAAGGGGATAATATTTTTGAAATGAAGAGTGATAAGGTTTATTCACTAGAAGAATTAACCATTTTTTTAAATTTTTATTTTTATTTATTTATTGTTCTTAGATAGTGTCTCACTCTGTCACCCAGGCTTGAATATTTACTTACAGACCAACTATAGGCAGATACAAAGCCTTTTATTACATATACAAATTCACATACGTGCGAGTATAATCTCTTTTTATATATTGCTTATAATTATGGTTTTTTTTAAGAGAAATGTTAAATATTCTTTATTTGACATTACACATAAACCACACTAAAATGCCTTTCAATAAATAAAAGGCAGCATTTTAGTAGATCCAGGGAAATTAGATTGGCATAATAAAGATCAAAAGTACAAAGTAAGCATTGCTACCTTCTCTCCAGCCCTCACCTTTAAGAGGCTCATGAACACCAGTTAAAATATCAGTGAGTCTTACTTGGTTCTGACACAGTGAGGGGGTTTCCCCAGTATTTAAATATATTCACATAATCAGTTATATAAGTCTTAATAAAAAAACCAATCTTCAACAGGCTTTGGGATGGCAATTGACTACCTTTGTGAAAAGGTAAACATCACTATTAAATCTGAACATATCTTTAGAAATGGAAAACAGTGATAGCATTTACTGAACTGGAATCACTATCAAAATCCAAAAAACCAATCATATTCATTTAACTACAAGCCAGTCTTAGTTAAATCTGGACTGTCCAACAAAAATATTCTGTCACTCATTCATGATCTGAATTCTGGTAAATAAGACCAATCAAATTATGGTACACATAAAAAAAAAAGCTGTGTGATATTTCTTTTGTAATAAATAAGACAATAGCCAACTATTACTCATTTGTAGCTTTTTTGAGATAAGCTATAAGTCTGCCCTTTCTCCCTTCTTCTTAATGTCAGTGAAGATCATTTTTGTTCCAGGGATGTACTTCTTGGGATTCTCCAGATACTCCATCAGTGTATCCTCTCCCCAGGTTATGCCTTTGTTCTTATTGGCATCTGTGTAAGAGAAGCCAGCAGCCTGACCCGTCTTCCTCCCAAAGAAACCATGGAGATTTGGCCCAGTCTTGTGCTTGCCTCCTTTTTCCACAGTATAGCATTGGGCACACTTCTGAACAAAAATCTTCTTGCTTTTCTCAATATCACCCATATTTAATTCACTCTTTGGTTGCTGACAGTACCAAAGTTCCGAGCTGGAAGCCGGACATCCCGCTCCTAATTACGTTATTTTTGAAAATGGTGGCCTGTATATCAGAGGTAATAATAGGGTTTCACATGTTCCAAAATGAGAGCCCAACTTATTTCATTTTGCATTGAGGATTTCTCTACCTGTCTTGTAGTCTTTTGCTTCTCTCTTTCCTC